TCAAAGGAATTTTTCCTACACATCCCTCAATATACTGATACTGATACTGATCAGTTCGCGTTCCATGTATTTGCGTGGATAGGGAAGAAGGATCGTCAAGTCAAGTTTATTAAAGGAAATATAGGCAAACGCCTTTGAACTCCCTATTGGTACACAGTAGCTAAGAAATGCATCAGCACTGTCGAACATTTCAAAGAACGTCGTTTACTTAATTGTAGGCGACTACTCACTTGTTCATTGTAACACACTCACATGTGTTTATGTCAGTTAGCACAAGCCAGCAGGTGTAACTGAGCTAAAGGAGCAGACGGTAAAAAACCTCCTAAGGTATGGCTCAAACTTCAAAAATGGAAGGTCATTAATGGTTCTTTAGGAGAAAAACTGTCGCTTGTGGGAGAAAGTGCGTGAAAGATAGGACCGGCATGCTGTTATGAATGTTGGCGGCAAGTCAGAGGGCCCACCCCGAGTAATATCCTTATCCGTATGGCCACATGAAAAGGAGACCACAGAGTCACGAGAACATCCCGAAGAAACGGAGATGCGACCATGATACGCCTTTGCTGTGACAAAAACAGGGCGACCCGCCACGGTCACCAGCAGTCGGTTTTTAGGCCAATATGAGAAAGAACGTGATAAGGCCGCGTAGCCTAGTTTAAATTTGTTTATTATACTGAGCTTTCGAACTCTTACAGGATTCCTGTACTAGTCCGAAAGCTCAAGATAACAAACAAATTGATCCGGTGTTCGACAATCCTTCTTCCTTATCCAATAACGAATATCCCCGGGACAGATGGAAGTATAAACAGCCACTATCGACCGTATGATCAAATTCAGTTCAGGACTATTAATTTAAACTCTGGCAAACCATATAATCTTACTTTCGGCTCCTTTTAATTTAGCTGTTTACACACAGCTTTAATTTGTCTGACGACAAGCTGGGGAGCAGAGTAAAAATGCACACAATAAACATTTTTATGCCCAAAGAACTTCACTCGTTGATAAATAAACAAATAAATAGTATGGACAGAAATACATTGTGGAAAAGGCCAAAGGAGACTGGCAGGCCAATTTCTGGCTTATTAGCCGTCATCAGCCAGGCATACCCACCCCTAGAGGTGGCGACCTCCGAGGCTTGAAAACGACCGATTCTGTCACGTCTGATTTGTTTGTAACAGCTCGCTACAGCTAAGTACCGTTTGCGTGTAATTTGAACAGTTCTGACATAAAGCGACGACCACATCAGTATCAGTATTTAGTATCATTATATTTAAGGGAAATGTAGGTGGGTTGCCTTTGAACTCCCTTTTTGCATGTGTGTGTTGTGGTATCTGAAAATAACATCTTAGCGCATTGGCGAGGCTAATTGACATTAGCCAATGAGGTGGAACATAGTTACAAAAAGAGCAGATATTGAAAATAACTCATTGGAATTTCGTTGGAGAAATAACTGTCGCTCTTTTGGAAAGGTCAGACCGGGAGGAGTCATCGCAGATGTCACCAGGATCACCACCGAAGTGTAGAAGATACTCCATTGTTGATTGCAGAGTCCGCCGAAAAGGTTACGAGAACAGAAATATTTGCCCAGATCGTCGACAGTCCACTGCGGGTCGAACCGAGGGAGAACGTTTGGCGGCAGACGCAATAACTGATGGGATCCCAGGTAGTCAAGTAGTGAAGACCACGGAGACCTTCGCATGGGAGTTTTGCTGGGAGAGCGTAAGCCATAGGTTTTTTATAGATAAAAATAGTATATAAGAAAATATTACTCTAATGTAGGTATTAGTATTCGAGACTGACGTTTTCGCCGTCTGGTCTATCCGTCTGAGGATGTTAGGTCTGATAGAATGGAACCGTCCTTAACGTAAAAAATTTTGCTATAAAACAAAGGCTACTAGAATGCAGCATGTTGTGTTCTAATTGTAATTTTCGGGCGTCACTTTGAGAGCGATCAGTGCGTATTGTATTGCGTATTGTATTGTGCGTAACAGCCCAGCTTCCGCTTGAAAACCTCCAACATAACGGCACCCAGAGGTAGCGTATTTTAAGCTTCGACCAATCTTTCGGTCCGGCCCCGGTCACATGTAATTTAAGTGGATGACCTTTCAAGTTCGTTGTTGTTGCTAACTTAAAGAAATCTCCTGATACAAGACAGCATTCCTGAACGCGTAATATGCCGAATGTTAGTGTCAGGTCCAGCAAAGCTGTCTGTAGCGCAAGGGAAAGAGATTGAGATTTGACAGCCGTATTTTATAGCACAGTAAGCAAGTTTGGTTGCACGCCTTTGAACCTTTTCTGGGATGTTGAGGTCTTTCGCGACCCAGGGTCTCCAAGCTTGGATAGCGGACTCCAGTTGCGGCCGAACGAAGGTTCCGAAGACTTTAGCGAAGAAGTCCTCATCAAAACAGAGAACCGACATCGCATACTTGACTTTCTTTGCGCAATACAGGGAGGATTTAAGCGAGGGCGTGATTCAGTCTCGCAAGTCCCTCTGGGTTTTCAGTAGTTCCAGTGCTATGCCATTTAGTCGGTAAACCGTACGGTTCGAAGAACTGGTTTCGCCGACTAGCATGATATTGCACTTGCTTTCATTAAACGGCCAGAGCCAGTCGTTTGACCATTTTTGGAGTCGATTTAGGTTTGCCTGCAAATTCTCTTCGTCAGCCGCAGCTCGAAAGACGCGCCGGAGTTTGAGATCATCGGCAAACACAGCGATATCGCAATCCAACTCGCTGACGAATTTGTTGATAACAGCAGTGAACAAAATAGGGCCGAGAACGGAGCTCAAACATAACCTTGGCCGCCTGCTTGTCACTGATATGGACAATTTGCGAGCGGCCGAGGAGGAAGTTTTCTATTCACGCCAGAAGCCTACCTCTTACTCCTATGCGGCTGAGATCATAAAGTAG